ACTACAAAAATGAGATGCATGTGATAATGAATGAATCACGAAGAATAAGTGCACGTGCAGCAGACATACCTAATTAGTTGGGTATACAAACGTTCTTACCTTTAAAAGCACCATGATTTATTTCAAAAAATTTCAGATCACTTTTCTTCATCCAAACTTGCCTAGTGGAAGATTTAATCCTAATCAACTATGTCATTAACTCGGTCAATTGACTTACCTGATTAGCTAGAAAGTCAATTCTGATATCAAAATCCTGACTTTTATTTCTATTGAAGTTCTGATTTCTATTTCTATTCAGGAATTTATGATACTTAGGCCTGACATGTCCTAACTCACCACAATTGAAACAATTGGGGACAAACCTAGGACTAAGGTTATGTGGTTGTTGATTTCTATTCCTAGGCTAATAGGTTCTACATTGTCTAGTAGGTCTCTGTCCTACGAGTTCCTTATTTGTGGGTTCAGGGTTAGGAACATATTTGGGTTGGTCAATGGTAGGGACAAAAATGGTTTTGGAAATACAAGCAGTATTGTGATCGTTCTCCTTATATCATAGACCTCTCTTATTACTAACAGGCATGTCCATTCATAAGATGTTATCAAGCTTTATTGAACCACTAGAGAATGCAAGGAGTTGGGTGTTGAAATTGTTAAGATCGCTCATAAGGATCTTAACCTTATTTTCTAAAGACTTATCCACAACGCTCAAGTTTCCTAGAGGACTTCTCAACATCACTCATAAGATTCTTAACATGAGTATCTAAAGATTCATTCACGGAGTTCAACTTTCTTAGGGGTAAGGTAGATTCTTGAAGGTCGGCTATTAGTGTTTATTTCTCTAACTTAAGATCTTTGACCTTCATACACAAAGCTTTATTAACAGTCGATATTCTAAGACTCTCCTCATATAACCTATCATAAGCCTCATGTATATCTTCCTTATCATCAGAATCCTCCTCAAATCGCTCACCACTATCTATATCCTCAACCTTCTCACTCTCTTTATCAGATTCACTCATAATCCTAGCAGTGAAAGCTAGATATTTCCTGTTCTCATCCGGAGTTGACTTCTCACTCTAATTATCTGAGTTAGACTCGTCATCAATGAAAGTAACATTCATTGCTTTATCCTATTTCTCCAAAACCTTAACACTTATGACATTTCACAGATTAAGATCTCTTTCTAGACTCATTAGAAGCACATGTGTCTCCATCTTGAAGCTTCTTCTTATTTCTAAATATTTTTCAAAAATTCTTAGAAAAATAAGTTATATCCTCTTCATTAGGTAACTCTGAATCAGAAGACTCATTACAGCTATCCCTAATAGTGTTCAAGACCAAAGATTTATCTTTTGTAGGTTTAGCTAAAGTTAATTCATAAGTTTGAAGAGATCCAACCAACTCTTACTTTCCTCTATAGCTGTAATTTTAGGCCTAAATCTCTCAGATAAGGATCTAAGAATTTTTTTTAACTATTTAGGCTCAAGAATTCTCTCACCTAGGTTGAAGCTAAAGTTAACTATGTTATTCAAGCTATCATAGAAGTCATCAAAGGTCTCATCATCCTTCATCATAATCTCTTCAAACCTAGTAGTTAACATCTGTAAGTTAAAGTTCTTAATAGCTTGAATTCCCTCATGCGTGGTCTATAAAATATTCTAAACCTCTTTGCAATCTCACACATAAACACTTACCTGAATTTTTCAGGGGATACTGCCATAAATAAAGCTTGTAGGGCTTTACTATTTCAATTGCACTTATCCAAATTAGATTTCGACCAATTAGCAATAGGAATGGGTTGATGACACCATTAACGGTGTTGGAAGGAGTGGTCCAACCATTTACTACTCTCAACCAAATATGCTCATCCATTGACTTAAGAAAAGCCCTCATTCTAACCTTCCTATTGGCTTAATTACTATTATCAAGATAAGGAAGAATGGATAATGACTGATTTATCTAGACTAATAGGGTCAATGATCAAATTTAAGCTCTAATACCACTTGAAAGTTACTAGTTCGACCCTAAAATTACCTAGAGGAAGCTAAATATGTGAATTCTGTGGAATTATAACAATCAATTAAAAGCAACAAGTCCCTTTTTAATTGTTTCTAAATGATCAATCAAACAAAATCAAATCATCCTACGTTGAACTGCCATAATTTGTAATTTGAAAGCAATAAATAACACAAGAATTGTTGATGGAGACACCCAACTGGGTAAAAATTTTCGAACCAATCTAGTAACATCTACTATAGACAACAACAAACTTATAGTACGATCCAATTTAGAAAATTTCACTAGACTAGCTGATCTATTTCTTTTAATCTCCAAAACTCGCTAAAATGTGTTTTACTCACACCTGTTCTCGATCTTATGAAATTGTCTATCCTCTATGGATCACCAAGAACTCTTTATTCGTGTGCTCTTCCTGTGCTTCTGGTCAAACCTCCTTCAATCTTCAGTAACCTCTGAAATCTCTTGAGAAAATACCATCATGTACGTGTATAGGAAGTGGGTGTTTTGGATTATATAAAGTTGATGTTTTTCCCAAATATGTGGTTATATGAATTCAAGAATCAATGGATAAATCAAAGAATTGAACTTGTTCTTGACTACATGAATGATGATATGGAGAAAGTATATAATGAACAATCACCACCCAATTCAAGTTCGGGCAGGGGTATATATTCTAGAAGGCATTTAGGTAGTATGGGCAGATTAAAACTCTTAAAATGCGAAATAAGGTTTTATGCTTAACACCGTCGCTCGATCCCCAGGCTAGCGATAGACAAGTGATCGGTGTGTCGCTCGAGCGAGAGCTTAGCGACGGACGGGTTACAGAGTTTCTGTTTTTCCCACTCGAGCATCATATGAACGATATGGTAAAGTAAATTCGATGGCTCTTTCCTCTTTGTTCCAAACTCGAACCCCAAGTTACATATTTCATCTATACAATATTGCAATTGACTCCTTGACTTTATTACTTTTCATATTTGTCCTTTTGTCTAAAAAATTAACAATATAATTAAATCTAACAATTTACTTTCATATTGCCATATTTTTCTCGTCTTTTTCATAACAAACTGGTATCAAAGCAAGATTTGATCAGCTCAGTTTGAGATTAGTTTTTGTGATGGAAACCATGAAATATGATTATCTGCTTTTGGCTCGTAGTAAAAGATTTTCGTTATAGCAGATAAATATGCAAACAGTGCTTGCTCAGATGAATTTGGATGATGCTTTGTTGGAATTTGACAAAATTCCTCAAATTGGAATTGGAAGATAAACAATGTAAGGATCGAAATGCCCTATCACATATTCATCTTTATCTTTCGAATAATATTTTCAGGATGTTTTAAAGGAAAAATCGTTGTTGCATTACAGTTGAAGTTTGAGCTATCGTGTATGACCAAAAGTCTAATCAGCAAATTGCATTTGAAGCAACGATTATATTCTCATCATATAAGGGAAGATACATCACTTGAAGATCACCTAGCTATTTTTAAAGAAATTGTCACTGATTTGGAGATTTTGGAGGTCAAGTATGATGTAGAAGATTTTCGTTGCCCATTTCATATATGTTTTTTAGAGACAGGATCTTATACAAACGTGATACTCTCAGGATTGAAGAAGTATATGATGCTCTATTTTTTAAGAGCAGATGTAGCATCTTGTTGGATCTGAAGCTCATGGAAAATGTTTTGTTATTCATGGTGGTGATATAAGGGCAAATTGAAGTCCAATTCCAAAGATAGAATTTGTAAGAAAAATGGTCACATTAAGAACGATTGTTATAAGTTGCATAATAGGGATAAATCAATTGTTGTATATCATAAGGGAAAATAATCAGAAAATCTAAGTGGAGCTAGTGTTATAGAAGATTGTTAGAGTGATGGAGATCTTTTGATTATTTTTGAAGGAGACTCTAAACCTATTGAGAGTTGAATTCTTGATACAGCTTGCACTTTTCATATACGTCCTAATTAGGATTTGTTTTCGACATATGAAACGGTTTCTAAAGGTGTTGTGGTAATGAGAAATAATACACCTTGTAGGATAGCTAATATTGAAAGGGTCAGAATTAATATATTTGATGGGACAATCAGAACACTTCACAATGTGAGAGATGTTCCAGATTTAAAGAGAAATCTTATCTCCTTTAGTACTCTCGATTTAGAGGGTATAAGTACCCTAGTGAATGTAGAGTCATGAAGGTTAGTAAAAGTGTCCGTGCTGTGATAAAGGGACATAGAAGGTCCCAGTTATATGTCTTGTAGGGTTGTACAAAATTTTTGAATATCAATTAGCAAAAGTTAGGCACTCGGGTGGAGTTTGAGTTTGGTACAATACTCTTGGAGTTTGGCTTAGGGTCTACATTGAAGAATACATCTCAATCAAGTTCAAAAGTCATTGATAATACCGCTTGACCACCATCACTAGGGTTACCACAATATTCAATTGCTAAAGATAAATCCCAAAGAAATGTTGGGCCTCCACAAAGATACGGAAAAGCTGATTTAGTTGTTTATGCTTTAAATGTGATTAAAGATATTTAATCTAATGAAGAACCTTCTACAAAAATAGTTAATTGTGTTGATTTTGTTACAATGTATGTTTCTGTCCAGTTTGGTAATTATTATTAAGTAAATTGTAATTTTGCTGTTTGTGCTGATAATTCGAACAACCTTGACACCCAGAGTAATCATGCTTTGCAATGCTTGAATTCAGTTGATATTCAATTATTATTTAATCGTCAATGCAAAAGGACACAAACAATTAATTTTCAGCCGGAATGGAGGAATCGTCCACAGAATTGGTGCTGGGTGGAAGATAGCATGTGAGAAAGGAGAGAGAGGAGGATAGGAGTTTTAACTATTGTAGCAAACCCACTTAATTTGGGCAATTGGGTCATAGCAAACCCACTTAGTTTTCATTCCTTTTATTTATTAGATCTTTAAGAACCTGAAGAATAGGAGTTTTAACTATTATAGCAAAGGTGAAAGGGAATCACAACAAATAGAAACATAGTACAATAGTCAGTTTAGACAAAACAACATTACTCCATGAAAAACTGCAGAATTTACAAGCACGAAACATTATATTTACTGTGTCATTCCAAAATCCCTTTTATTTCCTCGAACAATTTATTTAATGCTTTCACTAATTTGCATTCCAGTTTCACGTAAAAAATCAAAAGTCCACATTACATTCGTTTCCTTTTATCACACAGATGTAATCACATACACGAAGGAAGCAATCTAAATATGTCCATAAAGCCACTCATCAAGTCATTAAATCACGCAGGCAAAGCAAAGCTCTCTTGTACCCACTGTGGAGGATCCATCACCAGACAAGGATCAGACTTCTCAAAATCAGCAACCTAATATGAAAAGTAATCAAGTCAATGATATGGAATATGAGACCGAATAACAAACTAGAGTAGTGAAATAATCACCTTCTCGTTGCAGCTTGGGCAATAATGATATTTGTGCCATAGGCAATCCATTGAGGGGCATAGAAAGCAGACGCCAAGCATCATCGGCATCATACAACCAACAAAAGCCGCTAAACTTGGTTTATGTCTGTTGAACAAGCAAAGAAGAGAATTACTACAAAACATATATATCCTTGAAAACTTATATTACACTGGAAACATAAAATGGTGAGTTGTAAAAGCTTAAATTTTTTATGCACAATATCTAAATTTTTATCAGTACAAACCCTACATCATCTGGCAGTTAAGGTAAGATGCACTTTGATATTTTACCACAGATGTTCAATAAAAACACTGTGCATTTAATTGACAATGTATTTTAATTACTAATCTATAACAGTTTATGTCTACTTTCCACGAGAAGGAAATTGTTGATGACTTGAGGAGAATTCAATGTTCTAAGCAGAAAAAACATATGTAGTAAACATTGAATGTCCTAAGCAGAAACAGTGTAGGGATGTTCTTAGATTCCTTAAATAGTATTAACTTTGTGGATCCGATTAACAGTGAAGAAATGCCATATCAAAAGTTCTTTAAAACAAAGTTGCAAAATTATCTAATTTTTGTGCTTTATAAAAACAAAATTTCCTGATATCATCATAAATTTCAAGCTATAATATCATCAACACTGCAGCTTGGCCGTTTATGAGGAAATCTGGTACCTTGTTTCCACGCAATTTGACTCGCAAATATTGGAAGTTCTGAATAAAAAGAACAGCCTTGCAAAGAACACAGACAACTCAGTTTCTTTATAGAACATCAGTCTAGTTTACATATATGATAACAAGTGTGGACAACAAAGTGATGAAATCAGTACACCGACTAAAAAAATTCATAGTACAGCATTCCCTCTTGTAATTCTCAGCTGAAAACAAATCCACTCTCTATTAGAAGCAAAATTATGCAACTATAGCTCCTTCATGGCACATTATATTTCGAAAGATGCTACATGTACATCACATTGTACATAAGGGTGTCCATAATGGACACCCGGCGCCTCGGCCAATGCCAAGCACGGGCCCACAGGCGCCTCAGCCAATGCCGAGGTGCCGGGTGTCCATTATGGATGGACACCCTTATGTACAATGTAATATACAAGAAGATTAATCCTTTTATTTCTCAATCCTTTCTCTAGTCAATGGAAACTACAATCAACAATATTACAAATTCTAATAACCATATATTTTACACCAGTGCTTCACAATTTTACACTAGTCACGCTTCATTAAAACTTGTCACTCCTTCACAGTTTGACACCGTTAAAGACAATCGCGCCAAATGTATTTGCACTGGAAAACAGAACTGTACAATTCACAAAATTGAAAACCTTATTCTTAAATATTTGAAGCCCCAATAGACAGAGTTCAAATACTTTATACGGATATACCAATAACAGAGAAGTCGGGAAAAGGGAATTGAACAGCTGAAAAACTTACTTGACAGAGGTGATTCCAGTACTACCACAGTGAACACAATTAAAAGGCGCCGGCGTATCTCGGTAAATTGTCTGCTGAAGAGGAATTCCTTTTGGGTCCCCAACAACGGCGTTTGGGGGGACTGCACCGGATTGATAAGGGTTTTCACCAACGTAATACTGTTGAGGCATCGGCGCTTGGTACGCCGCGTTATAGGGGATCCCGATCGCAGGCTCCTCGATCTTCGACGACTTCTCCATAACAACAACAATTCGATTTTTCAGAGAAGGGTTTTTCAGATGAATTAGGAATTTAGGTTGAATGAAAATCTGGGAATTCTTTTCCTTTAAGATGATACTTTCCTCTTTTTCCTTTTTCTCTTTCTTTTTCATTTTTTTTTTTAAGAATCAATTTATTCTAGTACTTTCCGCGGAAACGAAAATTCTTTTGATATTGCAATTTGGTTGAAATTCAAACGCATTAATCAAAATCATCTAGAAATTCAATGTAGAATAATGCACTAAGAAATAATGACTTTTGACTTTTGTTTCAAAAAATATATTTCAAGGATTTTTCTAGGAGCGGGCGCGGCATGATTCGATCCGAATCCGAGAAGAACCAAACTAAGTCGAGTACCAATGAGAATTTTAGAAATGGAACCATTAGTTCCGAATCTAGTTATGGAACCGAACCGGAATCGAACTAGTAAGTTCCAATTCGGTTCGATCTGATTCGAACCAGTTCTTTACGTTGAAATTATGTAAACAGTGTTCACTAACCAAAAATTCGAAAGATGTTGCTGGCTATTTAAATGAGATCACTTAAGTGGTTTACGCCACATATTTATCAACATTAATATCAAAAAAATAGTTCTACACATCATTAATAGAATTTTGACTATTAAACAAACGTGTTATTAATCAAGAACTCCAATTAACTCTACTTTGAAGTTGCAAATTCTCACTAAAATTGCTTTCAAATTGCAAATTTCCAAGTGAACAATGTAACTTGAAGTCTAAATTCAAAGCAATTAGTTAACAATTAAATGTCTAAATCTCATATTATAATAAAATTAACAATCTGCCATAACAAAATTAAACTTAAGTTCTCTTCAATGTCTTCTCAAAGTATCTGCACCAATCCTTCTATAGAGTCAGTCCACCCCTTGCGTTGATTCTACAATACAAAAGTTAAAGTTCAAATGTTGAACAAAAAATTTACATGTATGAAATTACATATAAAATATAATTTTGACTATATTTACAATTAGATCATTAGTCAAGTTCCACAATCCATTGAATTTGAATCATTCTTTTTGTGGGTACGTTTCCCAACAAGCTCTACATTACATTGAAAATTACAAAATCTTAATTAAAAGAAGCATAAACAAAAATAAATATACAATATAATAAGCTAGAAAAAAATATATTCTAATTACCAGTTTCCAATTGGACCAATTCTTCATGAAACTTTGTCTCTTCAATACTCGCTCCATATAATCGGTCTCCCAGAAGTGTAGAACGTAGCTAGTTTTGTGTACAAATTAAAGCTTCAACTACTTTAGGTGTTAAAGAACTCCTAAATGAATCAAGAACCCACACCCCAGTACTCAACTCTAACTCCGAAGCAACCGTAGAAACTGGGATTGCAAGGACATCCCTTGCAATCTCAGACAAAATTGCATATCTTGGACAATTTAACTTCCGCCAAGTCAAAATATCAAATCTGTGATTAGTAGAGTCTTCAATGGGTTCCATTAGGTATCTCTGAATCTCGTCTTTTCCTAGCAAATCATTATTGTTACTTTTTAATTTTTTTACCCAAAATCAAAATTATTGGACTCATCCCAATCATCATATGCAGAAACCTACATTAAAATGTCATTAAAATCACAATTACCACCACATTCGTCATTGGATGCACTATTCCATCCCTTATACTGATTATACAACTCATATAATAAACTCTTGATTTCATCTTTTGTTGTTTCAACCAAGTTATTATCATACAAGCGACCAACAAACTCCAACTTGTATCGAGGATCGAGCACAATAGCTATTATCAATATTTTGTTCATTTTCTCGACACTACTCCAATACTTATCAAATTTACTCTTCATGTTTTTTTGCCATATCACTTAATAAAGGATGTTGCCTATCACTCAACGATTTCAATAATTGTTGAATATTACAAATTTCTTTAAGATATAAGTTCGAGGTGACTCTCAAAGATGCACTAAACTTTAAAGTAATTTCATAAAGGTTTTCAAAAACTTAACACACTTCCGACCTTTTTCCCAATCATCGCTTGTAGGTGGACCTTCTCTTTCCTTCCCATTCTCACGCTCATCAAAATATTGCAATAAAAACCATCTTCCTCTGCCATACAATCAAATGCTTTCTCAAACTTAAGTGCACTATCCAACATCAAGTATGTTGCATTCCATCTAGTAGGTACATCTAACATAGCAAATTTTTTGCATTCAATTTTCTCCCTTTCTACACAAATCTTGGATTTTGCTAATCTCGAAGGTGATGATCAAAAATACTTCACAACATTTCTAATACTTGCTATTGCCATGTGAAACTTTTTCAACCCATCATTTACAATTAAATTCACTATATGTGCACAACACCTTGTATGCATAAGCGAATCACCCAAAACCATCTCATCAACCTTCCAATTCTTTAATACCATTTTTCATACAGATAATAGCCCCATCATTTGCACTTGCATTATCAATAGTAATTGTGGACACATGTTCTATTCCCCAATCAAGCAAACATGTTTCAATAAGTTCTCCAATTGTTTTCCCTCTATGGTTTAGTACCACCGAAAAATTCAATATCCTCTTATGCAACACCCATTTTTTGTCAATATAGTGATAAATTATCATAGATCCATAAATTGTAATTGAAAAGCCAGCAAGCGAATCAATGCCTCAAGCAAAACATCAATCATGTAATAAAATTGAAAAATAAAATAATAGCTCCGCACATTTAATCCAGTAATTGGAGACCCAAAAACAAATAACTCTAATTCTGACCAATAAGAACTTTTAAAAAAATGTAAAGAACAAACTGTAAAAATTGCAAATCTAGCGGGAATGAGTTATTATGCAAAAAATAAAAAGTTACCTTATTATCTTCAATAATTTTGACGACCAGCTGACTTTAAAGAAACAATAAAATTGATTTTTCCTAAAGATTGAAGAGCAGTGGAATATTTTCTTGGGTTTGCATCTTGGTATAAAATTCTATAGTATTCATGATAAAATTATTTAAGTATCGATTTCAATTACCCATGGATTGAGAGGGAAAGAATGAAGAGAAAAGGAAACTGGAATAGTGAAAAGGTTATAGGAAATGTGATCTTGGTTAAAAAATCATAAAATATTGATTTTAAATATTTTACCAAAAAAAAATGAAAATGAAAGGGAAAAAATTATTAGAACCGAATTATCATTTGGTTCTTAGAAAGGCACTGAGAACCGGACCAGAATCGACCGGTTCTCGATGATGTGTCCCAAAACTGAATTGCTCTTTAGAGGAACTGGACCGGAATCGGCCGGTTCTAGTCGGTTCCCGAAAAAAATGCCACCTCTAGATTTTTCATGTACAGTGTTGAGGGCTAATTCCTTTGGATTTTGTCTGCACAGTGTTGAGAGCCCAATTTAAGAATTAGAATTTCAATTAAGGCTATTCTACCTACTTAAGTAGTCTTCCTATGTAACATTTCACATGATAATTTGTGATTTGATGTATTAATGTGGTAATTTTTTCTTACCTCATATATTAAATCATTAACCTTCATATGTATATCACGTAAGGTGACTGCGACAGTAAGTGACTGTAAATAATATTATTCTACTTTAAAAATATAAGATGGAGATAAATGCTATAGGGCTTATCTTATTTAAGATGTTAAAGTTGAAACAAAATTAATAAAGTGTACATTGATGCGTCATATTTCAAAAGGTAACAAAAATTCAAGAAAATTTGACACGTACAAGGTCAAAAGGTAAGTAAAAAACATTAACCCCTGATTGATTTAGATAAAAATAATATTTTACTAAATTTAGATAAAAGTTAATAAAATTTCTGATTGAAAAGTTGATAAAAGTTGTAGATCTTACGAAATATATGATTGAAAACGAGTTTTCGGAAAAATAAATTTTAGAAAATGCAAGTCTGTACATGAGCGAAGTTTGAAAATATGAATTGTATACGCCTAATCATGTGCGTAATTTGAATTATTAGAATAGAAAAACTAGGGAAGATTCTCCAGTGCAATTTCAAGGAGGAAAAGTCAGAAATTTGGGACAATAATGTGGAAGAAACAACTGCTAGAGCCATGCTAGAGTTGAAGCCACTACAAGTGTTGCCTTGGTGCGTATAACTAAATCCCTCGTGCGATGTGTGAGGAATATATGTCTATATGTATATGTTTATAGCTTTCACATTATCTTATTATATGCACTAAATACTTTCTCTTACAATATTAGTGCAATTCTTGGACCTTTTTAGAAAATTAAATTTAAATTAATGAGTAAAGGTCAAAAAAGGGGGATTTATATAGTCGATTGCCACCTATTAAAGATCCACATGCCAACAACAGACTTCTAACGCTCCATTTGTTAGGTGAAGGACCAACTTATAGAAGTAATGTTATTTAACATTATTGGGGTGCGTTTGATTGCTAGTATGAAACTTATATGGAAATAAAATAAATTTTAAGCAATTCAATTATTCAGCACTTATTTGATTGATTAAGTTTTCAACTTACAAAATATTATACTTGTTCATTTTTTATTGGTGAGTAGATAATAGAGAAGAGATGAATAAGAGAGAAAAAAAAGAGAGTAGATTTTCTAGAAAATAAAATTCTACTCCTCTTCAAGAAAATATTTTCCTTAATTTTGAAGAAAATATGGTCACCTAACAATAAGTAGAAAAATATTTTTCATGGAAAAAATGTCAATCAAATAGCACAAAAGTAAAAATTAGATGAAAAATATTGACAATCAAACACACCCTTAAAGCATTTTCAAGAGAGACTATAAAGATAAGATACTCTCTATTTTAAAGAGTAGAAATTTAAAATCACATTTCAAGAGACTTTTTATATTAACATTTTAATTTAGAAAATGGGGAGAGCCAAATTAATTCTCTATAATTAAATTTATTCAATGTGTTTCAATTTTCAATGTTGAAAAATAATAAAATATTATAAAGAAAAGCAAGTTAAAATAAAAAATAGATAAAAATAATAAATATTTTTTGGGAATATTATAATTTAGTTTTAAATATAAAAAGTTTGTTGGAGTACTTTAAAATTTTAACTCTCTAAATTTATATATGATTTCTAAATGATAGAATATACTCTTTTAAAATAGATAATCTCTTAAATATGCTCTTAA